TTCCATGCTGGCATCTCCACCCAGCTGCTTCCGATCAGGTGCAAAGGTTTGGGAGACAAAAGATGACCTTGAGCTTCTAGGAAAGAATTTTTTATTTTGAAAACAACACATCCTACCCCTTGTTAAATCCCCCCCCCTAATGAGTGTGGGGCAGGCCAAGGATTCTTAAAGGAACCGCTGCAGGCCTGACACAATGTGCAGTCAGTTGTGGAATCAATTACCAAATAAGATCCTCTTCAACATCACCTTGCAAAGAATATGGCTCCTTAGTTTTAACTGGGTTATTAAAGCTGCCCTTCTTAGATGCTGCAACTTCTACTTCAGCAATATTTGAGAGAACCTGTTGTGGTCCACCAATGGCCTGCGGAGCTTGCAGCAGAGTCAGACAGTTAAGAGGTTGGGGAGGAACATGGGCCAGTCCTGGAGTCTGGGGAAGACTCAGATGAGGGCTCTGCATCAGAGGCAGAGAGGAGGCCAGGGCCATCTGGGAGTTATGTGCTGCCTCCGGAGTCTCCAGAGTTGGGCATCAGCAAGGCAGTGAAACAGGAGGAGACTGTTACCAGTGTGCACATGCGCAGATCTGCCAGAAGGCAAGAACAGTTAAGACAAAAGGGGCGACTTTGGAGTAAGGCTTGGAGATGATTGGCCCCTCCTATAAGACATAAAGGAGGAGCAAAGGCATGTGAGCCTTTGTAGGAAACAACTTTATTTGTTCTGGTCAGTTTAAACTCTGAAGCTCCGTTTTGACTCTATGCTCCATTTAGCCTTGCAAAGCTAATTGGCAATTAGGTCTTTGGCAGCATTTCAAGGGCGATAAAGGTGGATGCTTATCAGCCTTATCCCGAAAGATTACAGCAGACTTCTGCCAAATTCTTTGGAAACTATTTGTGACTCCCTATGGGCTGTGAATGAACTTAATTCACAGCCATTGAAATAAAAAGAGGGTTTTGGGGACTAAGTGTGTACTTTTTACTGTCTCAGGAAGCCTAGGTCAGAACAGAACCGTAGTATTAGTCAACTACTAATTCCAAATTCAGTGAATTTCTTATGTTTAATATCCTTTATTATGGACAGACTGTACAGTTTGGTATTTTGTTTTAAAGGACAAGGTACAATTGTAATTTTTCAAAGGAAACAATTCCTTCATGGCCAGTTGCAAGAAATTATCAATATTTTTAATGAGAAGTGTGATTTTCCTACCAGAATAAAATGATCCTAATGTTCCCCCTTTTCCAAAAAGCCCTGGCAGATTTTCCCCAGCCAGGGTAAGGCTTATCCTGGAGCATCATATCGGTCACCTGAAGTGAAGAAACAGAGAGATAAACTATGTAGTTCATTTTAAGAAAAAAAATCTGCATTATGCTTGAGGGGTATAGAAAAAAATCCTTATATATATATGTCATGTGATTATTCTTGGTCTTAAATACATGACATGCATGATGCCCACAGACAAAAGACACAATGCCACACTTAAATGCAGCAGTAGGACTACATATGCCTCACTGAAAAATATGACATTGCATATTTCTCTCTCTCTCTCTCTCATACTTCATACTGCATACTGCATATGCATGTAACTGTATGTTGACAGGGTCTGCACATACTATTCATCTAGTTGACTGCAGAACTGACTACACGTAAGTAAAACAAAACCAATCACCACCAATGTATGTTCAGCATATTCATATGCATAAATATTCTATACCAGCTTTTCCCAACCCAATGACCTTAGATTTCAGATGTTTCTAAGTAATTTCCATTATATATGAAGCATTTTAGAAGATATACTGAAATTCTTTAAAATCCTCAAAGTGAAGCTATACTGTCAAAATGAATAATTTCAAAAAGTATATCCTATAAAACTTTTTCATTTTCTTTAAAAAAAAAAACACGGATTCATGCTAACAGCCAAGATGACTGAAGATCAGTTCTGAAGGATTCATTAGAAGGACAGCAGGTGAGAATGGTTACAGAATGGACCACTTTGTTCTTCTGAATGTAAAGTGATTCCATTCTATCAGGAATTGTGCAGAGGTTAAAAAGATATCCATATGCAATATAGCCAGACATATCTGGCTACTTTAGATTTAATTACAATGCAAAGTGTAAAGACAAAATGTATATGTCATGCAGTGAATCAGAAATCACAAAAAGTATCCTTTTTAGATTTTTTGGAATGATTTTCATAAAATATATTTTGTACTTGGTTGCGATCCATGGCCTTTGCAGTTCTAAGAAAATGAAGTAATACATTCACCATGGGTAACTGTCATGCAAATATGTACATGAAAAGAGCCAGATGCAAGTGTTCCCTGACCCATGGAAACCTTTGGATGTCTATGAATTCATCTTGACTTAGCCTAACCTATGTACTAGATAGCGAGAAACACAGGAAAAGGAGTGCATTCATATCATCTTTAACTGCTAAAAGGTGATATAACTTTAAGAAATCTAGCATCTATTATTAATTCATAAATCCTAAGCTTTGATTTAAAAATCCAATTAGGCTGTTTAAGTATCTAGTAAACCCAGTGATATGCCTTCTTACTGGAAACATCATCCATAATGTAATCAGCTTTGTCACATTTTATTATGGGCCACTGACCCAGATTTCATTTTTAAAAAGTATATAATGCAAAGTACAGTGATAAAAAAAGCTTATAGTCACGCATAATTTACTTTGCTGTTAATATCATGAGTTCTACTTATTACAATTGTAAACTTGCAACAGTCATTCTGGGATCTTTATCTGCCAAAAGAACCAGTATACAGTACAAAATTATTTTATATAACCTGAAAGTGGGCTACAAAGATATGTTAATAACTCATTTGGGGATCTCTTGGTTAAAATTAAAGGACAGCATGGCATATGGTCCTAGGACTCCATGCCCCCGTCTTTCAAGGGACAAAGTCTTCTGGCATAAAAGATTTTGTGGTATTTGTCCTCCAACATTGTTGATGGTAAAACAATGAAAAGATCTTCCAAAGTTTGTTATTTGTAAATTGGGTAAGATGGAATCCTGGTTTAAAATTAAATCTGCTGTGCCCCAATTGAGCTCCAAATGACATCTGGGTACATTGTGTTTGTAATTCTGTAACAAGAATTCTTTGCTTAAGGCCCACCACTGTCTGATCTTGTCCGGAGTTTATCAATTTCTCCCAATCCATCCTCTCTCCAATGTATAATGTCCTTGTTCATTTGGACATACTTTCCAGCTCTATTTTCAATCAGAGGCTTGTTGTTCATTGTATGTGAGGCAACATAACATTTTGGTATTCACATAATCAAATATAATAAGGTTTTTAATACCGTTAATGTCGAAATACCCGTTGTTGGTTCAGTGCTTTCAATTCAATGTTGACTCTTGGCAGCTACCTGTTCAAATCCCTGCAGGATATAGAAGTTTCCCACAGTCTCTCAGTATATTCTGGATTTTAAATGTATTGCTTCCAGTGAGGCTTGATAGCAAACTAAACCTCCTCTTTGTGCTTAGAAGTGAAAGATTTTCAATCACATTTGTAATGCAGCCTATAGGGACATAAGATTCTTAGTTCTTAACCATTTTTTGGATATAACTAATTGAAACTAAAGAGAGCTTTTGCGAGTGGCAGAAAATTTCATTAGGTGAATTATTATTTATTTATTACAAAGGAAGAAAGAAACAAAAGATTTAAAAGATTTAAAAAAATTGGTAAGAAGCTTAACAAGGAATGTAAGAAAGTTTAAAATGGATAAAGGAAAAGTTTTTGCTTACTATTTTTGCTTACTATTAAAGCATGCAGGTGGTTTTTACAAAATAAAAGGTAAAAGTAATATGAATCAGATTATGATGATAGCTCTAACTATTGAGAGGTTTTGAGACTATAACTATGGAGTGCCACTTAAGAGGAAAGTATTAAGGATCCAAGAAGACAAAAAAAGAAAAAAAAAAGAATAAGCTTGGGTTTTCCCATTGTTTGAGAAACTTTAATTTTTTTATTACTATATTATAAAGGCACCACCAGAAAAGCAGCAAGAAGGGGGCGGGGGGATCAATCTTGCTTTCTGACTTACTTTTTGCTTTTTTCAATTCTTTTTCTTTTTGCTGGTATAATTTTTACTTTTAAAAAATCAATAAGCTTATATAAAAAATTAAACTGTAGTCTCCATCCCAAATGAATGGCTTATCTATTCCATACAAATATTTAATCTTAATTAGAGCACTGGAATTTCTTAAATCGAAAAAAACCTGTGCTTTCTAAAGTTTCGTAAGAAAGTGGAGCTTTGAATTTTCAAATCCCACTGTCTTCCTTTCATCTATCTCTACTGTTGTTTTTACTCAGTAAAACACTTCTTATCTACTTTATTATTCAACTTTAAAACTAATACGAAATAAGCTTCAATATGGTTAGCCAGGACTGATACCAAGAGGCCCATTCAGCACCTTATCTGTTCTGTTTGCAAGGCACAACCATATCCAGTTGTTTTTGATCATGCTACTGTTTATCCTGGAGCCTATTTGATTTGAGTTATGCTTTTGAGATTTTTCTGTTATTTTGGATTTCAATTACCAACGGCATTTTTCTTCAACATTTTGGCTTGGTTTTTACAAAAACCCTTACCATCCAAGCTGTGACAAAGTCTCCCATCCAGGTCCCCACTGCTGCTACTTTCATAAAGATTTCATTCCTGATGCCCATGAAGTCCGTCACAATGTATGGCCTGTAAAAACAAGCATATATATTGTTAGTCCTGGGACACAGTGGCTAAGTGGCTAAGACACTGAGCTTGTCGATCAGAAGGTTGGCAGTTTAGCAGTTCAAATCCCTAGCCCCACGTAATGGAGTAACCTTGTCACAGCTTCTGCCAACCTAGCAGTTCAAAAGCATGTACAAATGCAAGTGGAAAAATAGGGACCACCTTTGGTGGAATGGTGACAGCATTCCAGACAACACTGGCTCTTCGGCTTTGAAATGGAGATGAGCATTGCCTCCTAGAGTCCAGAACGACTAGCACATATGTGGAGGGGAACCTTTATTTTTATCTTTTATATTGTTAGTCATTGTTAGTCCAACTATCAGCAGCAACTATATTTTTGCTCTGCAGCTTAGATATTTTTCTTTCTTCACTGCATTTATAGTCTGTCTTTTGTGAATGAGTTCAAGGAAATGGACAGAGAACTCTGTAACAGAGCTGTGCAGCGTTCAGATTCAAACTCCAAAACAAGCTTTGAATAGGCAGAAGTATGATTATAGCAAGGTATATGTCCAACAACTTAAAGTAGCTGCATCTTTTCCCATTACCCCAGGAAAGGATATGGGTGTTTAACATTCCTATATTCAGGTTCCTACACATTTCAAAGCACTTTTTTGTAATATTACTCTAACACACTGCATAACACTATTCCATATTCCATTGCTCTGCTATCACTGACAAGATAGATTCCTGTTTAATATTAACAAGCTGCTCTTCTTATCTCAATTTTAGATTTAAAATATACAGAATGTGGCAGGGAAAGGCTCTCCAGATGGTTGGGAGTTCACCTTTCCAAATCCTATTTGTGTCAGCATCACTTCATTCAGTAATCAGGAAAGAAAACCACTGGACTCCATTTCTATTGAAATCAAGTGTACTTTTACTAATTATAAATAAACAGTTGCAAAGCTAAGCTGAGTCTGGTTAATTAGGCGCGAAAGCTAATAATATAATGTATAATTCATTCCCCTCCCCTTGG